GAGAAAGACAGAGCATGTGCGGGAAAGAGGATGTGCAGAATTAGAGTGTAAGTGTTAATTACGTTTCTATATAAAAGGCAAACCTACTACATTGGCAAAATCATAACAATAAGTAAACTGGCTGTTTTACAATGTCAAGTTATTTGAACATCACACAGTAAATTAATAGAACAGCTATCATGTATGTTACACTCTGTTCATTTAAAGAACCACAAAATTAACCCCTTAAACAATCAACCTTTAATTACACACTTCTTTACCCTGAGAACAGCTCCATTAGTTTGCACTGAAGCTCCTGTAGTTACTGAACAATAAGCCTGTGTATAAAAGAAACCTGGACTGTTGGGGTTAATTTAGGGCAGCTAGGTTAAATGATTAAGTCCACATCAGCTTTTACAGTGAACACTTAAAAATAATTAAATAATAACTCATCTGAGACCGAGCCAATAGCGGAATATACAAAATATATGAAATATTGAAGGAACATCTAATGATGTTTATCAGGACACAAAACGACCAAAACAAAAATGTTCTAACTTTTATATTTTAATTCATGTTTCGTTTTTGGTTTTAAGCAAGAAGTGATTCACTGTATGACTTTTTAGCATTTAAAATATATAAAAACGATATAAAATGTTTGTGTTAGCAGTAGGGCTGGGCCATAACACGATAACGATAATTATCACGATGTAACTTTCCTTGATAAACATCTAAAAAATGTTTGATAAATGTTCAACATAATAAACTGTTTACACACTTCTACGTTTAGCGACAGCCCTGGTGGCGTTTTCTACTGCAAGGGAAGCGACACTACTCTGCTCTCCTGTGTCCGAGTCTGAGTGAGGAGGTCAGTAGTGTAACTGTACTGTCCTACAGTGACCTCACCTCTTCACTAACATCCTAACAGCTTTAGCAGCTCTAAATCACGTCTGATACTCACAGCTACAGCACTGCTACAGCGCTCAGTCTGATTTTAGTGTTAGTGCATTCACAGGAAAGAAAAGTGAAAGAAAGAGGTGGTTCATGTTCGTTACAGCCCTGATTTAAAGGACAGTGAACTGAAGCTGTGTGTAGGAAGCTGTGAGGCACTGGAGAGCGGGAGAGTCTTCACAGGCCAGCTGTTTTTAGCAGCTGGCTAACTTGAAGCAGCTCCGTCACTCATACAGCGAATTGATCAAACAAGACACAGAAGCGCTGGTTTCAGTTTAGACGTAGCTAAAGGAGGCTCTGTCTGTGTGGTGAGAGATTCACACTGCAGTTAATGCTTTTACACAGCGAGCGTCAGATATACCGCAGTTCACCCCTCAAACACTATGACAGAACAGAGAACCCAGACTCTGCTAGCTGGAGTCTGAACACCGTGATCCGCTCTGATATGGATGTGGTCGGAGTGACGGCAGTGAGGCGGTGTGATCCATCACTGACGGACCGAACCAGCCAGCGTTCGCTGTTCGTACTAAACTGACGATGCTGGGAAACTGAACAGTTCAGCTCTCGTCACCACACAGATTAAATAATCTGTCTTCTTTCTTAGATTATGACTATTACAAAAACTGCGGCTGTGCTTTTCCAGCTGACCAGAAACTCTCCCACTGTCCCACGACAGATCTGTGAAATGGTCCAGTGTTTGGTGAGTGATTGTCCTGTTCTGACCATAAAGGATGGTTTAAAACTGACCACCCAGGAGCAAAACTCAGCCTTCAAACTTGAAAGAAATACCGATTTGACATTTATTGCGATATGTATCGATATCGACTGTATTGATATGTATCGATATCGACTGATATGAATTTTGTTTATCGTGATAACGTTTTTGGCCGTATCGCCCGCCTCTAGTTAGAAGGAGATTTGACGTGTAGCAGAGACCGACGGGGAGAGAAAGGAAACGTACGGAGAATTTTAGCGTCGTCATTTTTGGGGACACACCTGTAACAGACAGGCCCACTGTCCTCTCTCACTTTCTTTATTACTATGTTAATAACACCCACCAATCAACACTGGACTGAGTGGACTGGATAAACAAGTAGCAGCTACACACAGTTAACATACAAAACATCCCGGAGGGAATATATAAAATTCTACACTGAACCGGCCGAGCCCAGCCAGCGCCTCGCCCTACAGGAAACGCCATAAACACAGAGCGAGAGGGGGATGGAGATGGAGATGGAGGGATGGAAGGAGGAAGAACAAGAAAGAAAAAACAGGCCTGGAACGGCTGCCGACCGACACACGTCCGCAGGGTTTACAGATGTTCTGTGCTCAGTTACCTCCACTCACAGTCCAAACAGCCCTCTGTGGGCAACGAATGAAAACACTGGTTTGGTCATCACGCGCGGCGGAGCGGGTTTTAAAGGCAGTGGACTTAATTTGTGCCCAGTCACTTTCCCACTGACCCGCAAGAGCTGAATAGGTAGAAACAGGAGCAGAGGGCGTGTATTTATACGAGAAGGCAAAGCTAAAGGAGAGCTAGTGAAACTGCTGTTCCTGGCCAGCACATTTTCAGTGAAGTGCAGAAGACAGAAAAAGGTCCAATTTCACTCCAGAACACCCTTCTGCACATTTTAATGCACAGTTAGATCTGGACCCTTCATCTGTCCTCAGTATCAGGATTATATCTGGAGGCCACATAGAAACGCGAGTGTAAACACAGCCAAGACGCATTTAAACACATCCGTCTCTCCACGACACACTCAACAACCAAACCCCTCCCAGTAAAACTAAACCTCCTTCCAGTACAACCGAAACCCCTCCCAGTACAACCAAACCCCCTCCCAGTACAACCAAAACCCCTCCCACTACAACAGAAACTCCTCCCAGTACAACCAAAACTGCATCACACTGAGGAAACTGGATATCAAACGAATATCTACAAAAACTGCAAAACAAAAACTCCGGCTGCTCCCACAGTTTTAAAGGGGAATTCCACCAATTTTCAAAAATAAAGATGTACACAGAGAGATTCAGAGCGGTTTGGTGTGAAATGGTTCAGATGTCTTTACAGTGGTGGTGATAGGAACCAGGGGCCGCCATGACTACAACACAGATATAGACATTTTATTTACTATCCAGAACCACCAGTGAACCTACACGAGTCTTCTGAGTCTATATGGAATGTTGATGATGGAAAATAGTGGAAAATCTGAAATAATAAGTTTTCTTTGGGGACTATTTTGCCTCACAGCACCCTGCATGTATCCCTCCACCATGAATGGAGTTTAAGTTCTCTAAACTATCATAAAACAGTGTCTCAGTCATCAGGCAGTGAATTCATAACCATTTCATGTAGGAACTTTCTGTGAGGGAGCTTTTAGAGGTGGACGTCTGGTTCCTATCACCACCACTGTGAACAGTTCTGACTCGGTAAGTTTATCTAGAACGGAGAGTTTCACACCAAACCACTCTGAACGACTCTGTTTACATCTAAACCGCTTAATTATGGAGGAATTTAGACAAATCGGTGGAGTTCCCCTTTAAGCCATCTCCATGTTTATAGATAACAGTGACTCACACAGAGTCAGAAACCACATAATGAGGTCTGCTGGAGACACTGAACTCCTCCACACGCTCTGATGATTCAGGTGTGCGGTTAGCTTGTTAGCTACATCAGCCCCGCAGCTCCAGTGCTGAAGCTTAAGAACAGGTCCCGGCTGATGGACTATGTTTGGGACGAGGAGGGACAGTGATCTGAAGCTCCATCTCTGTGTGAGTTCCTCAGGAGCACTCAGGGTTCTGTTTCTGCGAGGTTCAGTGCTTGTGTGTAATCTTGGTGCTGGTTTGAAAGAAGGATTTTGTGTTCTGGCTACGTTCACACAGAACCAGAGAATGTTCCGGGCTCGAGTACCGAGGAGCAGCTTCCAAACTCGGCGCGCAGGCCGGGTCAGACAGAACCGGCCAGAAGATCTTCAGGCCGTCTGAACACAGATCAGTCAGCAGCTGAGCGGAAACGTTAAAATGAGGCCCAGTTCTGAGAATTTAATCACTTTAGTCTCATAGAGTCACGGACAGAACCGCAAAAACAGACAGAACAAAGACGGAAGATGGGTAGACAGACAGACAGACAGACAGACAGACATACAGACAGACAGACAGACAGATAGACAGACAGACATACAGACAGATAGACAGAGAGACAGACAGATAGATAGATAGACAGACAGATAGACAGATATACAGAAAGACAGATATAGAGAAAGAGGAAGAGAGAAAGAGAGAGAGAGAAAGAAAGGTGGAGGAAGAGAGAGGGAGAGGTGGAGAGAGAGAGAAACAGAGAGAGAGAGAAAGAGAGAGTGGGCACACATAAGTGAGAGAGAGAGAGAGAGAGAGAGAGAGAGAGCACAACCCAGCCCCCTGTAAGTTCCAGTAATGTGCGGTGCTCTCCGCTCTGACTCAGCCTCACTCTAATGCAGACACATCAAACCTCTCCCCATCGCCCGCCCGGCCAGCCCGGACCTCCGGCTAACCATCGCCACGGAGACTCAGGCCAGGAAACACTGCGGAGTTTAGTGGACAGGAAGTCCGAGTGGAGGGAAAGCAGTAATTTGGGGACTGGGTCAGAGGTACGGTACGGACGCAGCAGCAGCTCATCACCATCAATAACAACACTTATCAGCTGATTTAGAACAGATCCAGCTCCCACTGAACACCCTAAAGCAGGCATGTCTCAGCCGGCTGTCTAAAGGGCAACTCCACCAAATTTTTGAAAAACAAAACAAACATTTTCCTCTACAGAGACAAACTTCTGCACATTTTAATATAAACTACTATTTGTTTACTAAGTTTATCATACCAGGGAAAATAAAACATTAAATGTGTCCCGTGGAAAAGTTTATACTGTATGTTTTATTTTTTGTGTGTTAAATTCAGTAAATAGACTGTAAGTGTGTCATAAACGTGTCTGCAGAGGAACTTCTTTACACCCAGAATCAACAATACAGAACTGAGGGTGCCCAAACTTTCACACACACACACTGCTGTCCAATCAGCACTGAACTCGTACTCACCGTCAATGGCCTGACTGAGCGCGTGCAGCTTCCTGTGTCGCTCTCTGAATTTGTCGTAGGCTCCGCCCACGGACTGGGACGAGTGATGGTGGGTCTTTCTGGCCTCCAGGCTGCCGAACTCGGGGTAGCGCGTCTCCCAGGCCCGGGCGGCCGATTTGGGTCGGCCCACGGAGCGGGTGCTGAGGGCGGTGCTGCCCCGCCGGGCGTCCTCCAGCGCGCCGAACCGCAGCATGTCCGGGTCCAGACAGGCCAGGTCCACCGAGGACGCCCAGTTTTTCTTCCTGTGGTGGGGCAGTGAGCGGCGGTCCGCCTCCACGGGTCGACCCCGGGTCTGCTGCTGAGGGTACAGCTCGCTGGACGTCTCCGAGCCCGGGCCGTAGTCAGACGGAGGGTACCGAGGAACGCCGTCATCCGCTCTGAGGACGTCCTGGATGGGCAGGGAGCCCATGGAGCGACTCAAGCCACGGTTAAGGGCCTGGTCCTGGGTCCGGGCCCGATACCGCTCCAAAACACGGTGGGCCGCGCTTCTCCCTAGAGGGGAAATCGAGATGTTAAACTTTCCACATTCCAAACTGCTTCATGTCTCTAAAGGCTCCTGTTCCTGTAGCACTGTGAGGTCTTTTTTAGTTTTTAATAACTGTTGTAATCACAATGTAAAGATCTTTTAAGCCTCCTCTAATGCTTCACGTGAGAAGCCCTACAGTGTGTGGACTGTCATCACTTTAATAAGCACAACCACTGCTAAAAACAAAAAATATTACACTAAAAGAAAATTCATTAAAAGAAAGCAGACCGCAGGACAAATATAATTACTTTTGTCCACCTTAAAGCCATAGAAAGCCTTAAAGCCTTAAAATCATCCAAAAAATTAAAAATAAAAATAATAATAAATCTACAACTACAATGATTGTTACTCAGTGCACTGCATTAAATCCAACTACAGAGGCCTAATCCTGCTCACTCAGTAACGAATCAAGTAGTCAGTCAGTGTTTTTAGGCCCTGACTGTATCCACAAAATGCTCAGAAGAGCGTACTGTGACATAATTAATCATGATAAAGATAAAAGACCACTATACTGCCCACCCTTAATTGGTGATTCATGACACTATTGTCAATCGGCCCGAGCCTGTAATCTATGACACGAGTCTGACTGGGCTGATTCCTTCTTCTGGCTCTTCGGGCTCCAGAGAGAGAGTCGTGTTAGCTGCTAGCTGTTCCTGTTCTAGTGAGAGCTGTTCCACAGACCCCCCTGATTTGACGTGACCCTCCGCTGCCTCTCTGCAGATCTGCCATGAACTGCCGTTTGCTAAACGCATTACCCAGGACGAGCCAGATTCTGAGCTCATGTCTCGGGGTCCTGGTGGAGGAGCAGCACCTTCAGCCAAAACGCCGAAACGCCCGTATCAGCGATCGACACTCAGTCAGAGCGATCCTGACGTCTCAATGAGCTGTGATGACTTCCTGTCAAATAAAACCTCCAGAAAACAACGACTGACAAATTCTGCGGACCATCTGAACAAAGTTTAATATCTGTGGCTTGACTGCGCTCCAGCTCGGCTCGGCTACTGTAAGACTCTCCAGCTGCTGTTCGGAAACAGAAGACAAGAAAATCTGTCAGAATCGGCTTCATTTTCAGACGAAAGATGATCTGACAAGAAATCTGCTGAGTAATCAGGCAGTAATCAGGGAAAAGCAGAGAGAGAGAGAGAGAGAAGGAATGAGATAGAGAGACAGACAGAAAGAGGGAAGTGAGAGAGAATGCAAGAAAGAGAACAAATAAATAAATAAAAACACAGAGTATCAAAGAGAAAAGAGAAAAGGGAGAATGATAGAGCAAGAGAGAGAAAATAGCAAAAGGGAAAGAGAAGGAGAGCGAGAGAGCTAAAGAGGGCAAGCAAGAGGACAGACCGTCAGAGGACAGATCAAAAGAGGACAGACCAACAAAGGACAGATCAAAAGAGAATAGACCGTCAGAGGACAGATCAAAAGAGGACAGACCGTCAAAGGACAGATCAAAAGAGGATAGACCGTCAGAGGACAGATCAAAAGAGAATAGACCGTCAGAGGACAGACCAAAAAGAGACGGAGGACAGACCAAAAGAGGACAGACCGTCAGAGGACAGATCAAAAGAGAATAGACCGTCAGTGGACAGATCAAAAGAGGACAGACAGTCAGAGGACAGACCAAAAGAGGACAGACCAAAAGAGGACAGACCAGTCAGAGGACAGATCAAAAGAGGACAGACCGTCAAGGACAGATCAAAAGAGGACAGACAGTCAGGGGGCAGACCGTCAGAGGACAGATCAAAAGAGGACAGACCAAAAAAGGACAAATCAAAAGAGAATAGACCGTCAGAGGACAGATCAAAAGAGGACAGATCAAAAGAGGACAGACCAAAAGAGGACAGATCAAAAGAGAATAGACCGTCAGAGGACAGATCAAAAGAGGACAGACCGTCAGAGGACAGACCAAAAGAGAATAGACCGTCAGAGGACAGATCAAAAGAGGACAGACCAAAAAAGGACAGATCAAAAGAGCACAGACCGTCAGAGGACAGATCAAAAGAGGACAGACAGTCAGAGGACAGACAGTCAGAGGACAGCTCAAAAGAGAATAGACCGTCAGAGGACAGCTCAAAAGAGAATAGACCGTCAGAGGACAGCTCAAAAGAGGACAGACCGTCAGAGGACAGACAGTCAGAGGACAGACCGTCAGAGGACAGACAGTCAGAGGACAGACCAAAAGAGGACAGACAGTCAGAGGCTGGACCGGCCGCTTGAGTGACACTGCTTCTTTGCCACGGGGCTCTCTGGACTGGGGACCTGATCAGCGTGACGTCACAGCCTGGACCGGCTGCTTGGTTGGCGCTGCACCGCGGCTTTGAGGCTGCCTGGCCTGGTGTGTTCTTCTGCTGGACGATTCTACCCCCTCCACAGTTAAGGACCTTTTCGGCCTTCGAGGTTTTCCAGGCTGACTGTCTGCGTGATGCACCGTCATTGCAGTGTGAGACTTTCCCCCGCGGCTAAGGACTCCGGGCTAGCTAAGTAGCTACACCGTGGTCAGTGACCCCCCCTAGCTGTGGGAACGGTGGAGTGTGTGTTCTGTGTTATGAATTGTTGATTATGTATTTTGCTACTCTCTGACTGTGAAGTGTCGCTGAGGACGGGAAAGGCGCTACATTAATAAAAAAGATGATGACGATGATGAAGAATGTTCAACATCTACAGTAAAGCCTTCCCAGAAGAGTGGAGCTGTTACTGCAGCACAGACTCACTATCAACACCTTCATTTCAGAGGAATCGCTGGATCAGCAGGTGACGCTCGGTCAGACTCTGAGTATCTGTAATCAACAGCGAGTCGTTCTTACACAACCAGCTGGCCTTGTTTATGTTCTCTGTGGCTGTGAAGAAGCTCCACAGCTCAAAAACCGCCGGGAAAGATTCGCTCATATTTTCCAAAATGAAACGCTCCGGTTCTGGTCTGCGGCCTGCAGCTCGTCTGCACTCAGAGAGAGAGGGGAGAGAGAGAGAGAGAGAGAGAGAGAGAGAGAGAGAAGAGAGAGAGAGAGAGAGGGGAAGGAGGGAGCAAGAGAAGAGGGAGGGGAAGGAGACGGAGAGAGAGAGGAGGGAGAGAATGAGCAAAAGGAGAAGGGGAGGGGTGAGAGAGCGAGAGAGAGAGAGAGAGAGAGAGAGAGAGACAGAGAGAGAGAGAGAGAGAGAGAGAGAGAGAGAGAGAGAGAGAGACAGAGAGGCAGAGAGAGAGAGAGAGAGACAGAGAGGCAGAGAGAGAGACAGAGAGGCAGAGAGAGAGAGAGAGAGAGAGAGAGAGAGAGAGAGGCAGAGAGAGAGAGAGAGAGACAGAGAGGCAGAGAGAGAGAGAGAGAGGCAGAGAGAGAGAGAGAGAGAGAGAGAGACAGAGAGGCAGAGAGAGAGACAGAGAGAGATAGAGAGGCAGAGAGAGAGAGAGAGAGAGAGAGAGAGAGAGAGAGAGAGAGAGAGAACGAGAGGGAACGCTTGGCGTTGGGCAGTGATCTCGGCTCCTGTTCTGATGGTCAGTGTTTTTCTATGGAGGCTGTGTCAGTAATGACTGACCTGAACTCCCTCATTAGCTGAGCTGTCTGGATTTTTCTGGAGAGCTGAGTTTATTAGCGAGTAAAAACATTTCCTCTTCCTGTGGAGAGGGTGAATTATCCAGCTCTGAGAGTGATGGACACCTCCGTAACGCTTCCTCCTGCCTGATAACCACCAAACTCTGACATCTTCATCTGATCTTCATCTCAGTCCTCAGCCTCTCTAAGAACCAGAGATCTCACAGAAAGAGACGCACAGAAGCTGGAACTCAAACACCACACGCAACCCAAACAACCAGGAGAGTCCAGAAGCGTCTGAGAAGCTCTTCTCCAATCCTGAGGACGAGGCAGGGGCGAAAAAACTCGTTTTAAATCAAGAGACCCGGCAGCAGAAGGCCTGCTTCAGCAGTACGCACTTCTCTTTAGAACTTCCAGAAAAGAGCAGACAAACCAAATGAGTCAGGGTGAATGGGTGGAGGACAGTCTAGAACAGTGCAGATGTGGTGATGAAGGAGAACATTCAAGAAAATGTGAATGGGGGAGAACATTCTAGAGCAACGTGAATGGGGGAGAACATTCTAGAGCAACATGAATGGGGGAGAACATTCTAGAGCAACGTGAATGGGGGAGAACCCTAGGGACCCCAAGATGTTTCACATTTTTGCTCTGCTCTGTTCTCTGTCTGTTGTTAGGTTAGAGTAGAAGATCTGGACCATCTGGCTCTTCTGACTTTGAGGACTGATTTAGGAAACCATAGTTTTAGAAGAGCGTGAATGGTAGGAGAACATTCTGGAACCATATGAAAGGTGGGAGAATATTCTAGAATAGGGTGAACGAGGAGAACACTCAAGAAGAGTGTGAATGAAGAGGAAAAAACATTCTAGAACCATGGGAATGATGGGACACCATTCTGGAGGCTCAATCAAATAACAGGCATGCGACACTAATCAAACATTTAGTGGACGTTCAGTGGTCACTCGGTTGGTGTTTGGCTTTGGAGGACATTTAGTGGGCGTTTGGTGGGCATTTGGTGGAGGTTTGGTGGAGGTTTGGTGAGCATTTGGTGGAGTTTGGTGGGCGTTTGGTGGGCGTTTGGTGGAGGTTTGGTGGGCATTTGGTGGAGTTTGGTGGGCGTTTGGTGGAGGTTTGGTGGGCGTTTGGCTTTTGGAGGACATTTACTGGATGTTTGGTGGGCATTTGGTGGGCGTTTGGTGGAGGTTTGGTGGAGGTTTGGTGGGAGTTTGGTGGGAGTTTGGTGGGAGTTTGGTGGGGGTTTGGTGGAGGTTTGGTGGAGGTTTGGTGGGCATTTGGTGGAGTTTGGTGGGCGTTTGGTGGAGGTTTGGTGGGCGTTTGGCTTTTGGAGGACATTTACTGGATGTTTGGTGGGCATTTGGTGGGCGTTTGGTGGAGGTTTGGTGGAGGTTTGGTGGGAGTTTGGTGGGAGTTTGGTGGGCGTTTGGTGGGCGTTTGGTGGAGGTTTGGTGGGAGTTTGGTGGGAGTTTGGTGGGAGTTTGGTGGGAGTTTGGTGGGCGTTTGGTGGGAGTTTGGTGGGGGTTTGGTGGGAGTCTGCCGTTTGGTGTGCGTTATCCTGGAGCGTTAGGCCAGATCAGTGCACACAGAGAAAAAGCCCTCCGAGCTGAATCGGCGGCGGGTGCCGGAGCTGCCCAGGCTTGTCTGAGGCACAGACGGCGCTCGTGTGAGAAAGCTCTTTAATCGACAACTGCTGCTCTAACAAGCAGAGGGATTTGTGCCGAATCATGTCAGGACCGGGTTCTGCTCCGCTCAGCGCTACGAATGACTTCCTCCATAGCAACAGCGCCGATAAAGGACGAGTCAGCAGTATTCTCAGCTTCTCCTGCACGGGTCACAGAAGAGCGCAGGAAAACTCAAACAGGCAGATCCCGCTCAGCGCTCGCACGCTCTGACGAGTCGAGACACGAGGCCTGGCACTGCCACGGTAAATAAATGTGTTTATGTGCACCAGAAAAATCCCCTTCAGCTCATTTTACCCAACATTTCACACAACAGTGCAGACAGCCATTATCATGTGACGCCTACTTTACATGCTTGGCTGTGATGTAGGTTTATTATCCTACATCTACTGTTCAACCTATACTCATAATTTACATTGACAGTTCTGACAGCAGCAGGCATGCTTATAATATAATTTCACGGTAGAAGAAATCTTTCAAATCACTACATTACTGAGTGTTTTAGTTATGGCTGCATCTCAAAACCAATACATAACCAATACAATTAGGCCAGACAGACACTGTGATCTTAGAGATCTTGTTCTTTGGTGACTCACACTGTACGTTTGAGTCGCCCATCATGTTCAGCCAAAGCCTGCGATTTATGCGCTCACACTGTATGAAAACGCTCAGCCCCTATAGACGCTCCATCTACAATAAAGCTGTTTCATTCTAAACAACACGCTGCGCCTCCGATGTCCTGATCAAAACACTGGCTGAGTCTCAGACGGCTCCCTGCTCCCTACACAGTGCACCACATATTAAAACAGCTGCTCCTGCACTTATAAAGTGCACCACATGTCTAATAAATATCCTTCTGAGATTCAGCCGTGTGCACAGCTCCATACTGGACTAACAGGGCAGTATTTTGGTGTAGAAGCCAGAACTTGGTGCACTACATAGGAGGGAGGGGCCGTTTGAGATTCAGCCATTGACGAACCGCTACAGCAGCTTTGCTAACTTCTGCCACTTTGTGCACTGAAGGCGAGCAGGCGGCTCTACAGGCAGCTCTACAGACAAAAATCACTGTATTTATTTATACCTCGCAATTCAACTCAGTCAGACGGAGCAAAGTCGTCATATACGGACGCTGTAGCCGAAAATGTGGACTCTCTTGCCTCCGTGTAGGAGCGGTGGGTGCTCAGACTGTGAGACAAGAGACCAAGATTTCAGAAATCCATCTGATCGATTGCTCAATCAGAGCTCGATTGGACAGTTAATCTGGCACCGTTTCTCCTCTCACACTGCACGGCAAACGACGGCCGATGAACCTGAATTCGGTCAGATCGTTGAAGTCGGCTTCGACCAAATCGGGCTTAAAATCTGGCTAAAATCGCACAGTGTACGCCCGGCTTTAGATGTCTCTGTCCATGTGAAATATCAAGAGGAGCTACAATGTCCAAGAACTTCTCCACTACAGGTTTGATAGCAACTGAAACGCAACATCTGGGAACAAAAAGTCAACACAGGCACGCAGATGCCAGATTCCCGGAGGTTTAAATCGCCAGGGTCAAACTGACCCCACGGATAAAAGATGTAGTAAATTTGAGGATAACAGGAGGGTTAATGTTAATCGTAGAAACGGTGAAACAGTCACACGTAGCTGTCACACAGTCACACCGTTTAAGGTGGGAAAAGGGAAAAGCAAAGGAAACAAACAGCATTTTTTGCCACTATTTGTTGTCTTAATTACCATTTAATTCAATTGTAAAGTCTTAGATTTTCAAACTTTGTTTTTGGCCCATTTAATCTTTAGTTTTTTAGTCAAAAGTTGTGTTTCTTTTGCTCAAATACTTTTATTTGTGATCGTTTTCTGAGCAAAAATGTTGCCATTTCCTTTACAAATTCTTACAAATTCCTTTACAAATTTAATTACTTAACTTTAGTGTTTCACCACAACATACATTGTCACCATGTTATAAAAGCAATAATCCATCCAAGGCTGTGTGTTACAGTGATTTTACTGCCTACACCTCCAAACTTATAGTGAAAATCACCGTAAACGCGACCTCGAGTGGCTTCATAAGGAAAAACTTTCTCAGAACAGAAGATTTGGTCATATTTTCCAAAAATAAAACTCTCTGGTTGTGGTTTGCGGCTAGGCTCATTTTAGACTTTGGCTGTCCACACATTGCTAGACGAGGAGGAGGCAGCGGAGGATTTTAAAGGAATATTCCAGCATTTTTCAACTTCCCTTACGTGTTTCAGGAGTTTTTTCCTGTTCTTTTACTTTGTTTAGGGAAGTTAAAACTATTTTCAGTGGTAATTAAGTGAACACAGATGAAGCGCATAAGAGATTGGGTTGAAAATGCAACATTTTTAGGGTTTTATTCATAAAAAAATGTTCCTCAAAGTCTTCATTTTAGTATGCTTTTTAGCAAACTACACACCTGCCCGGAGTGGAGAGTAAAGCGGCTCAATATTACGAGACGTAATGCATTACATGCTGGATTTAGTGCTGTATTTGAATCAGGTTAAGCGCAAAATGGCCACATTTCAGTCTCGCATTCCATCATAAACCTAATATTGCCGTGTTCTAGATTTCATTGAGGAACTTGTGGTGTCTGGAGTCAAACCAGCAGAGCAGTAAGCGTATCAGTTAAGGTTCGTTTACACAGCAAACATTGGTTTTCCTACATTTTATTTAACCTGATTAGATTTGTGCGTTCATGCAAACCGAGTATCTTGTGATTGTTTCCTGACAAGCACACAAACGTAATCCAAACTGAGAGTGGACAGAAAAGACCTCAAGATCAGATTTACTCAGATACACTTCACTCTCTGTCCAATACAGACCCTCAGAGTGCAGGTTCTCCACTGTATGAGCAAAAGTATCCAGTAAATCCAGCTACTTTAAGGTCACCCACTGCTGACACAGCTTCTATAACCTCCACAGAAAAGCACTGACCAATAGAATGGGACGCTCTGGAGCAGCTACACATGATCCTAAGGTCACCATGTCCAGTGCCCAGCGTGGGCTAAGGGGATATAAAGCCCCACAGCATTGGGCTGTGGAGCAGTGGAACTGTGTTCTCTGGAGTGATGGAGCTCCATCCAATACCTTTGGGATGAGTTGGAGTGATCCAGAACAGACCATCCAACATCAGTACCTGACCTCACTAATGCTCAATCAAACCCTCACAGCAATGTTCAACACCTAGTGCACAGACAAGTTGACTTTACAGCTCAGTGATGACGCTTTAATCTGATCTAGACGAGTCGCTGATCACATGATCGACACTAACAACATGGATGCCTCAGAGAAGACAGCAGGTAAGCAGCCTGGAGATTCAGGATCCGTATCTCTGGTTTCCTGAAGGCTCTCAATGCGATTCTGGACCCACTGGAAAGGGCACATCATGCTGTACTGACCACTGGAGTTTGGCTTCGTTCTATCATTTCTCCTCCTGATCTACAGAGCTTTAAAGACCAGATACAGAGCGTCGTTATCTCCTGCTTCCTGAAGACTACAGTAAGAAGTCCTGTGTGGCTGGAGATGCCTGTAATCCTGAAGCCTGTTACTCTTATTTTCGCTCTATGGTGCTCTAAACTTCTCTGGTTCTCCGGACCTCTGCTGCAGGCGAGCTTCTCGGCAAGGTCACCTAAGTTGCGCCTAAATAGGACACAAATTTGTGAGATTCCAGAGTCCGTATCTCCGGGACCCTGAAGGCTCACGATGCAATCCAGGGCTCGTTGGAAAGGGCGCGTCACGCTGTACTGACCTGTGGAGTTTGGCTTCGTCACAGATTTTAAAAGTCAGAATTTTAAAGTCGTCTGTTGAAAATCTTTTTCTTTTCCTGTGGTTTTGATCATGACGTCATCAATGATTAGTCGACGTCAACTATTAATACCTTTCATTTCAGAAGAAACTCTGGAGTGTACAGACTTTAGGACAGTGTGTTTGTCTTTTTTAATAAAGCCAAGACCACAGAAGTTTTTAAACACTACTTATTACACACCGTTTTTAGTAAAATGTGATTTATATGCTGTTGACTATGAATACGGTAAATTTTAAAAGTTGGTTTGCTCCATATTTAATTGCTAAAACATAATACGCCCCCCCCATGCAATCCCCCGCCCCGGACGGATCCCGTGCCCTCAGGGGCCGCCCACGACGCCTGGTCTGGACACGCCACTGTCGAGCACAAAGGAAGCGTGAGAGCGCTGAGCGTGACCGTGTGAGTCTGAGTGAACAGGACCCTCATGTGGGCGTTCAGAGAGGTTTTGTGTTTACCTGCAGGCAGACCTTTCCCTCTCAGCCTGTCCCGAATCTCTCTGCTCCTCTCAGGAAGAGACTCCCGCTCCGTCTGAGACAGCAAACCGTCCAGCTACAAATCACAGAGAGGGGGGGGGGGGGGGGGGGTTAAAGTGAGGGAACAGAAAAGATAAACGGTGACACGCTGGGAGAAAGAAAACAAAAGCAGGATGTTGGTCAGCAGAGCGAACGAAAGAAGGAAAAGTCAGCAAGTGGCAAAAACTCAGGGCAACAGAGAGAGAAAGGCCAAAAAATGAGACAGAAGAAAGATTTTAGCAAAGGTTACTGAATATCTGCTGCAGCCTTTTCCCTGAATATCTATTAAAATGACCCTTAATTAAAAACCTTAATGTACGACGACATGCATTAATGTCTGCTTCATTCAAAAAGCCTGGATGATCAAATCAAACATGAAACAGAGAGCGTGCAGAGAGTTTACAGCTGCTGAAGCTGCTGCAGCGGTTTTGGAAAGTAGTGATGAAGATAACGGAGCATTTAGATATGAAACATATGAGGATCTTGTTATACGAAGAGCCTTTAGAGGAGAATCTAATAAGATATGAACAAATCGAGAACATGACCTCAGACCACAGAGGGGTAAACCGCTCATATTATGGAAAAGCACAATTTTGCTTTATTTAAAGTTTAATTTCGTATATAAACAATGTTCACGTTTCCTTGGAGTCCATATGCAAACCAAGGTGCTGAAACAGCCTGCTTTGGACTTCACGGCACCTCTTCAGCCCACAGCCGTTTAGCTCGCTCATTTACACCGAAGGTATAAGGAGTGTTGCAACATTTACAAATGCACAGCCAATCAGAACAGAGTTCATTTACATATAACCTAAAGGCACAGTGACAAAAACAGCCTGTTTAATTCTAGGAGACAAGGAGAGGTTTAAAAATCGTCATGTAGAAATAAGCCCTCGTGCGACGTACAAGGACACTCGCTCACATTCTCAGAGCAGACAGTGCAGAGCTCTGTGTTCACCTTCAGTGAAAGAGAGACGCTAACGAAAGCACCTTCAGACGTTCACTGTGAGACGAGAGCTCCTTCGGCCGCCGCTCGGCTGGACACAGATAAATACACTCGTTCTGCGAGTCGTACAGCCACAATCTAATAACTGATCCTTCTCTGGTTAACTTCCAAGAAAAGCTACAGGCACAACAGCAACTCATCCAGCTTTAGAACGAACGACAGAAGGGCTGAGAACAGAGTGATGGACAAAAAGGAGCCCAGAGGACAGAAAGGAGGACGTCAGTGAAGCGTAGGAGCCTGAGAAGGATTCTCACACTTACTCAAGAGACACGACTCACAAAACTTTTAAAGACACAAAAAACATTTTTCAGTTTTCTGGGGTGGGCGATATGACGATATTTATCATTATCGTGATAAATGATGTTATAGTTAGCATATCGTCGATATTTACAGTACTTAAAGAGTTCCTGTTTATCTGGATTTAGTGGAGCACTCTGAATTTATCAGTAGAAATAATTAAACTTGAAAGTATTTTTTAATGTGGCACCACTCCAACTTATCAAAACTAAATACTGTGGTGCAAAATTCAGTGTGTGAGGTGTGAACAGAGAGATTCAGAGTGGTTTGGTGTGAAATGGTTCAGATGTCTTTACAGTGGTGGTGATAGGAACCAGGGGTCGCCATGACTACAACACAAATATAGACATTTTATTTACTATCCAGAACCACCAGTGAACCTACACGAGTCTTCTGAGTTTATATGGAATGTTGATGATGGAAAATAGTGGAAAATCTGAAATAATAAGTTTTCTTTGGGGACTATTTTTCCTCACAGCGCCCTGCATGTATCCCTCCACCATGAATGGAGTTTAAGTTCTCTAAACTATCATAAAACAGTGTCTCAGTCATCAGGCAGTGAATTCATAACCATTTCATGTAGGAACTTTCTGTGAGGGAGCTTTTAGAGGTGGACGTCTGGTTCCTATCACCACCACTGTGAACAGTTCTGACTCGGTAAGATTATCTAGAACAGACCGTTTCACACTGAACCGCTCTGAACCGCTCTGATTACATCTTAACCACTTAATTATACAGGAATTTTGGAAAACTGGTGAAAATCCCCTGTAACACACTTGATGTCTGAAGAAACACTGGACGAGCATAGACCTTGACTGGTTATTAAGTTAGTGAGCTGAACCTGTTTCTAAAAAATATATATATAAATACATAAATAAAAGCATTTCACACCAAACCACTCTTGTTTACATCTGAACAAAATACAGGAATTTAGAAAAATCAGTGGAATTCCCCTTTAAGTATTCACAATATCCTTGATGTGATCAGAAAGGCTTACTGTGATGAAATGTGAAATAATTGATCATGATAACGATAAATATCGTCACACTGCTCACCCCTACCCTGACGTCACAAGGTCTGAGATACTAAATTTTACAGACTTTTTAAATATTTTAATTTACTAAAACGCTACTGAACATCATCTTGAATACTCGTCTATTTAATAAGCTTAAGAAAAGCTCCAGACGTTTATTACTGTCTGCACTGAACGAGAGGAACGACGTACCTGAGAGAGGCTCCCGAGCACCAGGCGCACCAGCTTGCGTACGTAGGAGAAGGCGGGGTCGCAGGTGGAGTTGCGGATGTGCGTGCTGCAGGCGTTCAGGATGGAGCGCACGGACAGACGGGAGAGCGTGGAGTCCTCACACATCTTCAGCAGAATCCCGTTCAGGTGCTCACTGAGCTTCATAGGCTGACGCAGAAACAGACACAAAGCTTCAGACAAAAACAGACACATTTATCATCCAAAAGATGTTCTACAGCCCTTATTGCGCAACAGCGCCAAACCAGTCATGTGGTTCTGTTCTGGGGAACATGCTGCCTAATTTAGATTTATTGTGCCGTTTGTGATCCGCAAAGGAACAATAGCAAAGGAACTTCCAGCCTAAGCCTTAAATCTGTCACGCTTATTGAAGTTAGATTTACATATTCTTTTATGCTCAAACTATAATCAAAAAGCTAAGAAAGGTTCTGGTGTCTTCAGCACAGACGATCTGGACCAGGACTTGATGTTTTTTGTTTGAACTCAGGTCAATTTGTGCAGAAAACTGATTATATCTCACTATTGCTCTGTATTTTAAGCATTCTGGATAATTTAGTTCCCTCAGGCCGTTTTCACACTTGGGCCATTTCAGCGTCTGAAGTGGACTCAGACCGCTGAGTCATGGTTTCTTTTGCATATGTGAACATGCCAAACGAACTCAGACCCCCCTAAACGGCCCCAAAAACGGACCGAACTGAGACCTCCTCTGGAGGTGGTCTCAGTTCAGTTCGTTTGTAGTTCGTTTTGTGGTTCGATTAATTTGTGCGTTGTGAAAACAAAACGGCCCCAGTCCTCACCGTACACACAGCCACAGTCTTCAGCTCTTCAGCAAACAGACCAAGGATCATTATGAGGTTCTGCTCAGGATACAGTCTGTCCGTGATCTGAGACAGACAGCAGCGCTGACTTATTAAAGCGGTCAGATGCGAGAGCTCGCGTGATCATACCATGTTAAAGGCTCAAGCTGGGCACGCAGCGCAGTTTTCAGCTGTTTTCACTCTGAACACTGAATGAATCTCCGGGTGGAGCTTCAGTGAGGAGCACAGCCGAACACGGAGCCCACCGCAGACCCGCAGGGCCATTTTCCAGTTTTGCGCAATGGACTGCCAATCGTTTCAGCGCGGCCAATAGGAGAACAGCAGGCGGGTCTGGTGGTTCTTCTCGTCACCTGGTAGGTCAGATTTATCAGAGAACGCGGCCCACTTGGCGAGCGCTGTGCACACCGTGAGTGCTGTGAAAGTGGTCCGAGTTCTAATGGAGCTGTGGTCTGAACAAGAAGTGGTCTGAGATCTCAGGACCAGATAGAAAACTGAGTCCTCTTTAGAGTTCACTTACATTGTGAACACAAAACGAACTGAGGTCACTTGAAGTTGGTTCCCTTCCAGGTTCACTTTAACAGAACTCGGTACGGTTCTTTTAAAACAAACTATACATAAAAACACTGTCAAACAGCATTTTTGAGTTGAATTAACTCGCAGTTGAGTTTAGTCTGTCGTCACAGGCAACTTTGAAACCACCACTTTCAAAAAGTGAACCTGCGCTGCTCCTTTTAACTGTTTCTCTCTCATTAAATTTACCCAACAGATGTGTTTAACTGGGCGGCACGGTGGCGCAGTGGGTAGCGCTGTCGCCTCACAGCAAGAATGGCCTGGGTTCGATTCCCAGCTGGGTGACCAGGGTCATTTCTGTGTGGAGTTTGCCTGTTCTCCCTGTGTCTGCGTGGGTTTCCTCCGGGTACTCCGGTTTCCTCCCACAGTCCAAAGACATGCAGACATGCTGAATTGCCCCTAGGTGTGAATGTGTGTGTGAATGTGTATGTCTGTCTGTCTGCCCTGTGATGGACTGGTGACCTGTCCAGGGTGTATCCTGCCTTCCGCCCAATGACAGCTGGGATAGGGATAGCTCCAGCACCCCACCGCGACCCAGAAGGATAAGCAGTTTAGATGATGGATGGATGGATGTGTTTAACTGAGCGAAGCCCACTGAGCTATTGTTTACAGAAATAAGTTTGCTTGGCTTACTTCCTGCCCATTGGTTCCTGGCTCCATCTGAAAGTGTGTCTTTCCATTTGATTTACTCACGATCACCGTGTCTTCATTCCACCTACCCTTCCTCAAGCGTACACACACTTAACATGGTTCTTCAAGGGTTATTTAGTAAAGAAAACGGTTCTATATAGACGCATAAACACTCAAAAACCCTTTGCATGATTAAATGGTTCTTTGCATGGTGAGATGTTCTTCAGACTGATGGAGAAGGTGCTGTCTGTCGCTGTTGTCGGAAGAAAACCTGGTATCTCCAAAATGGAAACTTTACAGGAGAAGGAAAAAACCTACTTTACTTTCAATGTAAGTCAATGGAACCAGAGTTTTTCCCAAGTCATTTTGGGCCGTTTCTTTTGGTCTGTTCTTCATGAAATTTACACACGATGTAAAGAACAACAGACGTTTCCAAATTATATCAAAAACTGAAAAAAAAAAACAAAAATGGAGATACAAGGTTTTCTTCAGGCAGCAGCGATATGCTTCTCCGTAGCTCCAAAAAGGTTATTCTAGTGTTACGAAGAAACTTTTTGATGCTATAAAGAACCCTTTTCAAAAAGGTTCTACATGGAACCATCTACAGCACTCTATCAAACTAGAGGGGTATAAAGCCCCCCAGCATTGGGCTGTGGAGCAGTGGAGCTGTGTTCTCTGGAGTGATGGAGCTCCATCCAGTACCTTTGGGATGAGTTGGAGTGATTCAGAACTGACCATCCAACATCAGTACCTGACCTCACTAATGCTCAATCAAATTCTCACAGCAATGTTCAACATCTAGTGTGAAGCCTTCCCAGAAGAGTAGAGGCTGTTACTGCAGCACAGACTCACTGTTAACACCTTCATTTCAGAAGAAACTCTGGACTCGACAGACTTCGTTTGACTCTTACCTGGCTTTGTGGAATCTCATAGTCGGCCCCCCAAAACAGAGTCATCCCGAGGGAGTACATGTGCATCTAGAGTCAAAAAGAGAAACCATAATAAACAAAACCATCACAGAACACTGTGGGTGTGACCGATATATCGGTTTGCTGATATTACCAGCTGATACTGAGCTTCTACGGACCTCGATCAGCAGTAGGGCTGGGCAATGTGACGATAATGCATCGTTATCATGATAAATTATGACACAACACGGTTTTCTAAGCATATCAATCGGATATCGTCGGTACTTAACCCTCGTAAGTCACCAAACACGGCAGCATAATCAAACACACAGCATAAAACACGACAAAAACACGCTGAGCGTTTTCTGATAAAGAGCTGCCTTTAAACGCAATGCTAGTTTCTGTTTGCTGTCAACAGAGCAAGAAAAACGGGGTAAACAGGTTAAGATACATTTGACAAAGATCAAACACATGACTGAAAGTATGCAGAATAGGACGGGGCTGGCGTCGTACTTATCTTAATATTTTCATCATTTTTTGTTGTATGAATAAATGGAAAAAATGTCTGAATTTGCTGATTCTGTTCTACAGGCTGAATATCCTAGAGTGGTCAAAAAGAGGTGAACTGAGCGGGCGAGAGAGGAGAGAGAGACAGTGATGGAGATACCGCGCTTGTTTTTAGGAGTTTTAATTAGTCCTGTTTAATTAATAACGAGGCACTACATGCTCCACTTTATCAAATCTCAGAAAAACAGCATGTCGAGGTTAGAGCCGGGCGGTACGGCCAAAAATCTTGCAGTAGAAAACGCCACCAGGGCTGTCGCTGGAATGTGGAAGTGTGAGAACGGGGAATTATATCGAAAATGTAGCGAACATTTCTTATATTTCTATCGAGGAAAGTTATATTGCGATAATTATCGATATCGTTTTATCGCCCAGCCCTACTTGAAGTATGGCGATATAATAATTTTGCCCATCCTTCATCAGCACCATCGGTAAAACTCCTGTCAATAAAGCACGAATAACTGGAGGCTCATCTTGGATTGTAATGAACTGGAGATCTGGAAACCATATTTCCCAATTAGCAATAATACTGACCGTTAGTCCATTAGTTCTCTGAGTTGCCTGAGCACAAATCTGAAAAAGTATTCAAACTGATTAAACCGCTCGGCTAACAAGAGTTCATTACTTTATTACATCAAATTTAGTCTTTTGGTCACATGGGAACAACAGAAAATCCAGACTGTGAGGAAAAGCATGAAAAACCGCACATAAAACAAAATCTAACTGGTCCCTGTAAGACGTTCAGCACGCTAAATGTAAGTGGTGATCAGGAGTGGGTAAACTGGGCGAGTACAAAATAAATAGCAGGACATAAACCTGAAATATAAAATTACACCAGCTGATATTATCAGTTCTTAGAACTTTATTACCCTTTAAAATTCTCTTATAGAAATATCATATATTTCACGTATTTCCAAACACCCCAGTCAAATTACGTATCTGACTGATTTTCTAAGTGAAAGTAAGTAACACGTCCTCTACAGGACACAAACTGAAACACAGCGCCTGGAATTAAAAGGGATATTTTTATTTTGTGTAATGGACCTAAAAATGTAGTCCTAATGGTTAAAATGCAATGAAAAAAACAGCTTGTTTTAAAAAAAATGAAATATTATAAACTGAAAAGTGTGGGTGACACTGTATGTCATCGTTATGCAATTTTTAGTTAACATTTTTATTTAAACAATGGAAAAAAAAATTAACATAAAATGCAATAAAAGGCCACATTTTATATTTACATTTTTTTTCCAATATGTTAAATTTGGCAAATAAAGAGTAATTGCGCATTAAATTGTATAGAAGTGTGTTTTCTGTGTTCTCATTTTATTATATATTTTATTATGTTTCATTATATATATATATATATATATATATATATATATATTTATATATATATATATATACACACACACACACACACACACACACATACACTTTCTCAAATCTAGATATATGTTAACATTTGTATATGGTGCAGTTGTGTACGGCTGTTCTGAAGCAGATTTTGAGCAGGATTACCTGTGTGTTTATTAACAAACAGCGCAGTAAACACAGCTACTGTGCGCTTTAACAGAGCTGTTATTAACCCTCAGGCTCGGTTACACGGTCCTAAAACCAGCCTGAACTCTGGAGTGATTCCTGAGTGGAGGCCTGAGTAAAGTCCGTCTGCGGTTCTCCTGTTTCACACTGTTATTTATGAATAAAACACTGAAAGACTATAAAAACAAATCGAGTGTACGACTGTGTGAAGCGCAGCTCCGGAGCAGAACAGCTCAGAGTCTTACAGCACAGATGAAATGTCAGATTGGTAAAAATACTGCAGACGCTTTCAGGCTGGTCAGTCAACAAAAGAGACACAATCTCATCTAAAGAAAGAAACGTTTAGCATTCATCAGCGTAAACCTTTAATCAAACTCAAATTCAATCAAAAGCAGCTTTTAAAATAAGTACAATAAATAAATCTGAATCACCAAATGTTACCTTATCAGGGCAAGGTAATGCTAAAGGAGAACTCCACTACTACAAGAAATGGTTATGAATTCACTGCCTGATGACTGAGACACTGTTTTATGATAGTTTAGAGAACTTAAACTCCATTCATGGTGGAGGGATACATGCAGGGCGCTGTGAGGCAAAATAGTCCCCAAAGAAAACTTATTATTTCAGATTTTCCACTATTTTCCATCATCAACATTCCATATAGACTCAGAAGACTCGTGTAGGTTCACTGGTGGTTCTGGATAGTAAATAAAATGTCTATATTTGTGTTGTAGTCATGGCGACCCCTGGTTCCTATCACCACCACTGTAAAGAGATCTGAACCATTTCACACCAAACCACTCTCAAACCACTACATCTTACACACTGAATTAATCAGATTTTTTAATTCTCCTTTAACATAATGTACTGATACTGTTAATTCTGTTACCATCAACATAACTGTTCCATGCTGTGAGTGGATTAAGGAGAAAAATAAACAAGAAAATTATCACCACATTAAAATCATATTCAAGTAAAAAGACAAACTGAAGAGGACTTTTATTCACCCATGGAGCATTAAAAGTGAAGCGCCTCTGACTGAGATACATGCACTGACTTGTTAACAGACACAGAGACTCAGACAGAAGGGCAGTCTGACTAACACAGCAGCTCTCTGACCTTTTGTTCTGCATTAAACGCAGCTAAAAACACTTAATCCCTCCAACAACGTCTGTGCCGCCCCTCTCAGAGGCTCTCCAACCACCACCGCTCTGCCTAAAGCTGTTCTACCTGATTTTTAACTTTCGTTTCATTTTCATTACTTTATTTATTTTATTATTTTAGTCATTTTAATTAATTTTTAGTTTACTTTTTGATCTCCTTTTATTTTTTTTTATTTGATTATTAACTTTTACATTTTAGCTACGTTTTAATTATTATTTTATTTATTTTATTTTTATTATTAATGTTTCTTTTTTTTAACTTACCTGATCTAAATCGCTTTTTATTAAATTTGCTTTTATTATTTGATATGTTTCTCATTATCAGCCCCTTTTCCTGTATCAACTCAGCAACACTGTAAACGAGGGTCACCCTCAATGTTCCCCGAGGATAAATAAAGGTTGATTGATTGATTAAAACGCGCCTCAGATCCACCAAGAACTCAAACGTGATTACTAAGATATAAACAGTGCAGAAGTCAGAGACTGCTGTTAATTTGTTATGCTTACAGTCAAAACAGCCGTTAAGCTCAAATCACTCCTTTTTCTGCATCAGGAAAAAAGCAGAAAACACACAACAGAAAATTACACAACAGATAAATCTGCTCTCAGCTGTGTGAGTCAGCGAGTCAGCGAGTCACTCTTCACCTTTATTCCAGCTTCCATTCTTTTCAGGAGACTCACTCCTGCAGACACACCTCCACAGTTCAGTCTTAAGCTCTGCTGGAGCTGGATTAGTTTTATCAGAGGAGGTGTGGTACTGTAATCTCTGTGTGGTTAGACCGGCTGATTCACACAGGATAAAGGATCTCTGTAATTTCCCCAAATTACCCCAAACAACCAGGACGCACACATCAAGGCACGGTCGTTTACGTCAGCGTTTGACACCAAAAATAAACCCGAAACGTGACTCTGGACGCCTGTTATCAACGGCAACTGGGAATGATGGTGCATAATCACAGCGAAAGTGAAACAAGACAGAAAACGAGATGTTTTATCGCCATTTGATCATCAGAAACGTGTGCATTCAGCAGTTCTGTGGATTGGGGAATCGGGTCAAATAAGACCGATTTTAGCTGTTAGGCCCGAATACTGGAGTCCGCACCCTGGCCTGATTCTGGGCCCGTTTGGGGGAGGGGCTCAGTACCACTGGTTTGCTTTCACACACAATAATTCCATCCGAACTGTGGAGCAACAGCGCAATTCCATAGGTCACTTTTCCGGTCTGCAGGTCTGCAGGTTGTAGTGGCTTCGTCCGTTTGCTGCTTTTCTAGCGAAACGTTTCTCCGGTTAGTCGGATTGAAATCTGATTACTGTGTGGGACGGAATATGCAAATCAGCTCGTTATGCAGCAGCCAATTACCAACTGTTCATTAAGTCGTCTGCAGTGTGTTTTGTACAGTGGTGTCTGTCCATGTTGATATTAACCATTTCATTTTGTTCCAAACCTTGTGAGTCCCCCATGATCACCTTCCTCACAGACAAGAAACCCAGCGACGCACTGCATGGGGAGGAGTTTTGGTTGTACTGGAAGGAATTTTGGTTGTGCTGGGAGGATTTTGGTTGTACAGGGAGGGTTTTGGTTGTACAGGGAGGAGTTTTGGCTGTACTGGGAGGGTTTTGCTTGTACTGGGAGGGTTTTCGGTTGCACTGGAAGGAGTTTCAGTTGTACTGGAAGGAATTTTGGTTGTGCTGGGAGAGGTTTTGGTTGGGTTGGGAGGAGTTTCGGTTGTACCGGTAGGAGTTTCGGTTGCACTAGGAGAGGTTTTGGTTGTACTGGGAGGAGTTTTGGTTGTACTGGGAGGGTTTTGCTTGTACTGGGAGGGGTTTCGGTTGCACTGGAAGGAGTTTCGGTTGTACTGGAAGGAATTTTGGTTGTGCTGGGAGAGGTTTCGGTTGGATTGGGAGAGGTTTCGGTTGTACTGGTAGGAATTTCGGTTGCACTGGTAGGAGTTTAGGTTGCACTGGGAGAGGTTTTGGTTGCACTGGGAGAGGTTTTGGTTATACTGGGAGGAGTTTTCGGTTGTACTAGGAGGAGGAGTATTGGTTGTACTAGGAGGAGTTTCGGTTGTACTGGGAGGAGTTTCGGTTGTACTGGGAGGAGTTTCAGTTGTACTGGGAGGGGTTTCAGTTGTACTGGGAGGAGTTTTGGTTGTACTGGGAGGGGTTTCGGATGTACTGGGAGGGGTTTCGGTTGTACTAGGAGCAGTTTTGGTTGTACTGGGAGGGGTTTCAGTTGTACTGGGAGGAGTTTTGGTTGTACTGGGAGGGGTTTCGGTTGTACTAGGAGGAGCTTCAGTTGTACTGGGAGGAGTTTCGGTTGTACTGGGAGGAGTTTCGGTTGTACTGGGAGGAGTTTTGGTTGTATTGGGAGGAGTTTTGGTTGTACTGGGAGGGGTTTCAGTTGTATTGGGAGGAGTTTTGGTTGTACTAGGAGGGGTTTCAGTTGTACTGGGAGGAGTTTTGGTTGTACCGGGAGGGGTTTGGTTGTTGAGTGTGTCGTGGAGAGACGGATGTGTTTACTCTGCTATAACGTGGCTGAAATGCGTCTCAGTTCACCTCCTGAAGTGCTCTGAGTGATCAGATCTGTATCTGTTTAAATGCGTCTTGGCTGCGTTTACACTTGCAATTTTATGTGGCCTCCAGATATAATCCTGATACTGAGCCAGATGAAGTGACCAGGTGTAAACAGTTCACTGGAAGTAAACATCAGACCACCAATTTCAGGAGGACTATAGATTGGTTCTCTATTCCGCTCCTGGGCTCAAATACAGCTTTCACACCAGACCAAACACGTGGAACAAGTCCTGGGTCTGGAAAAGAGCTCTAGTGTGGTCAGGCTATTAATGTGTCCCAAATAAAGGAAAAAGACAATAAACAGAGGCAGTTTCTATTATCCGGTTTTGTTATTACATCACTGTGATGCTGATTTGAACAGGACTGCTGTTACTGAGGAGCTCAGAGTTCAGCCAGTTATAGAAGCCGATTCACTGTGGAATTATTAGTTAACAGACTGTAAAGCACTGCAGACTCATACTGGATTAAATCACAGATCTCGTCAGTGATCACTCAGATTACAGCTCCACCCCAGATTAAACTAATCCAGCTCCAACAGGGCTACAGAAGCTGGTTGATCATTTTCTGAAGTAATCAAACACATTCAGTGGTGTTGAGGTCTGGACTCTGGGGTGGTCAGTCCATCGTTCAGCTTCTTTGTTTGATGTGTCCGTCTCCTTTTCTCAGTGAGGTTCTTCTTGATCAGCTACACATCCTTTCAGACCCACAGCGCTGAGTCGTCTTCTCACAGTGGAAGGATGGACAGAAACACCTGTGGATGTTTTCAGATCTGAAGCAGCTTGATTTTCTCCTCTCTCTCAGAGATGAAAGCTTTAAGTGCTGTTTATCTGATGGGGGCAGTTTTGTGGTCTCCCAGCTCTTCCAGGTGGTTGTTAGGAGACACATTTTCTCTGGAGCTTTTTCACTTTGATTTTCTCCTTCCTTATGCAAGTGGATTGTCTTCTGCCTGATCTCCTCTTAATACCTTCTGAGAAAGGAGTAACTTGTACTTGACGGCTGTTTTGACTGGAAATTAAATTAAAGGGTCTCTGACGTTTTGCGTGTTACTGCACATGCAAACATTTTTCCATTTTCCTGCTCTTACAGCTCCTCTGCCTCAGAGAGAAAAAGAGGAAAGTCACTTCCCTCGGCCCGGCCTGGCCAAGCCGGAGGAAAGAATAACTTGGGGTTTGCCAAAGAATGCAGAGGATTCTCTGACTGAGCTATAAAAGAACAGAGCCTGATTCACCGACTGTAACGCTGCTCTGCGGTCATACAGGAAAACAGTTTAGAAGCAGAACATGAGAAGCCGTAATGCCAAGACTCTGGATGTGCAGTCAGATTCGCAGTTATTTAGGATGACTGCAATGATTTAAATCGCCTACAGTCGTTAGACGTCACAGATATATAAGCAAATAAAAGAAAGCAGTTAGTATGTTCACTGAAACACCACCAGGGTTCGAACTTCTAACTGGGAGCTCTTATATGGTCCCTCTGGTTCAGAACATGCAGGCTTGCTCGACTCTACACTAGGGGTTGCGTGACTTTCGAGTGTTGCCCCTTGGAACTGAGTTACAGGGTAGTGGTTGAGATCTTCCCTCTGAAATGAGACCCTCAAATAAAAAGAGCATCACTTCATTAACAGCTACCAGCGCTGCTCTGTAGGCGACGCTGCCAGTCTGCAGTGACAGCAGAGGAGGGTAAAGTTCAGCTCCTCACTGCTGGGCTTTAGTTACATTTAGGGCATCATATGATCTTCAAAGAGGGGGGCAATTATTTATTATCACCCACTTCTTCAAGGGTTCTTCAGTAAATGGTTCTGGGTCTCTCTACAGAAATGTCCATTTTGTGTCTGTGGTATTTAGAGACATACTACACTTAAAAAAACATGTTAGGGTCACAATTTATTTATATTTAAAAAAAAAACAGTTATTTTAACAGTTACACCTTCTTGACCCTCAATTTAGCAATATTGGTTTTTAAATCAATCATATAGAATTCCAATCACCACAGAAGAGCTCGTCCTCACAGTCATGTGTGAAGGCTGAGGCCATATTTTTAAGACAAAAACACTTTTCTGTAATTTTAACTGCAATAATCTATACATGACTATGGAATATATGAATTAAATGACAAAGAAAACAAATGCCAAATAAATATTATAAAATATATAATGAAAGTTGTCCCCAGGAGTCACTGGTGTTACTGCGTAACAAAAAATCTCTTATTTTGAAATAAAAGGGAATTGTGAAAAATAGAACACAAATAGATGAAATTCCATATTTTAGTGGATTTTCCATGATTGACATGTGGTTTGATGTTCTGTAGCAGTTATTCTGTAAAATGCATTGTTCATTAAAATGTCTCTGGTGTTCCTTTATTATGTGGAACACCAATGAGGATCAGTAACACCAGTGACTCCTATGGAGAGACAGAACAGTGGACGTTTCTGTAGAATGACCCATATATAGAGCCGTAAACACTCAAATGCTTACAGGGTTCTCTGAATGGTGAAATGGTTCTTCAGATCGATGGAGAATGTGTTGTATATGATTCTGTTGTATGTGGTTTTATTGTTAAGCTTGACACTATAATGACAGAAGAACCCTTTTTGGTTCTAGATAGATTCTTTGCAAAAAATGTGTTGTATGCAAACATTCTAATTCAGTGTTTACAAAAATAAACAATCAAATAACAGGTCAAAAACAAAAAATGAATAAAAATAATAACTGCAGCATCCAATCAGCTGCTTTATACTACTCAGTTACTATACACTGGTGGTGGTTGTTGTTGTTTACAGGCTGTTTATGTTTGGTCTTTATGATCCATATATTGTCCAGAGTTCTAACAGTGCTGCCCAAACCCATCAAACCCTCAGAAAAGAGGACTGTGACATAATTCAAGCCGGTAACAGAGCCACGGTGCCCTCGGCTGCCCTACCTTCTCTATGTCCGACACGGAGGAGAGGTTGAGGCCCTCGAGGATTTCCGGGGCGGTGAACGCTCTCAGGTCCTGCTGAGTCACATTTTCGTCCGTGAAGGAGATGTTTCCGGAAGGCATGAGCAGCAGAGACCAGGGGGAGATGATAAACCCCAGAGCAGCGGGATCTACAGAGGGGAAAACAAATAAACAGCAGGAATAAACAGCCGATTCGGTCAGATACAGGTTCTGGACCGGATGGAACAGAGCCGTTTTATTCTCCACCCAGTCAGGGCACAAAAACTGCAGTACTAAGTGACTGAATTCTGATCCCGACCTTAGAACGTGGAGCCAACGATAGCAGGAGCGCTTACAGCACATTTGTGTGACCACGATGTAGAAAATGCGTGTATTTCAGGAGTTTTTAATTAAACACTACTGAGTTAAAACACTGGGACCATCACATCACCATTCAGGAAACTGGGTTAACTTGAAATGCCGAGTTCACTGAACTTAGTTAAAACATGTAAAACACGAATTATTCTTTTGTTAATTTAATATTAAGTTCTATAAGCTCAAAACGTCACGTTAACCTGGTTACTTACTGTTTAAATTTAAAAGCTGCGTTTTTTATGGAGTATTTGTTCGCGTCTCTGACGGGCGGCTTAGAACCGCTAGTTCTTCTTCCATCCACCAGCTTTGGGAATGTTCTCCAGACTGTTTCATTTGAGAAACAGCACCGGCTGAAATTCTTTTTAAGGTATTAGTTGTGTCATTACTGTTATAATGATATGCAGATAAATGCAGATAACGTGACATACGAACAGGTCAGAGCTCGCTGAGTCCCTCCCCTCTCGCGTACTGAGCTGCAGCCTGAGGTCAGCCAGTCCAGTTTACTCTCAAAGGAGCGACACTGTAATGAGTCGATGAGTTAATGGGAAGAGAGAGCGGAAGGAAAAGCCAGTCTCTTGGGGTTAGCTGTTAGCCTTTAGCCTAGCTTAAACGCTAGTCGGCTCTCTGTGCGCTCTGCCTACGGCGCTCCTCGCTCGGCCTGCTGATTCAGGCAACGCTGCGGTCTCGCCCTACTAGCAAAGTAAATGGTTCTATATAGAACCTTTTGAAAAAGGGTTCTATATGGCACCAAAAAGGGTTCTTCTATTGTGTCAAGCTTGACATCTTTTTGGTGCTATTTGGTACCCTTTTCAAAAAGGTTCTATAGAGAACCATGTACAGCACATTCTTGATCAATCTGAAGAGAGCTTTAATTATGTAACAGGTTCTTTGAGTGTTCATGGTTCTATACAGAACCATTTTCTTTACTGAAGAACCCTTGAAGAACCAGCTTTTTTTTTTTTAAGAGTGTAGTTGTTCTATACAGAACCTTTTTGAAAAGGGTTCTATATAGCACAAGCTTGACATCGCAACGATAGGAGTACCCTTTTTGGTGCTATAAAGAACCTTTTAATCATGCCAAGTTGTCTTGTGAATGGTTCTATGTTCTATTTTTAAGACAGTGTAGAAGTTCCTAAACAGCGATGGATCTTAACGGAAAACCCAAACCGCTGCACTCAAACTAACGAGACGGTTCCGCTCCTTGGAGAACGTCTCTCATTACGGCGTAACACACACGGTCAGAAAACGTCTGCTGAAACAAACGGAGCAGAAAAGTCTGCAGACTGAAGGATGAAATTGGCGCAGCGCTGCTTTAATGTCCTGGAATTCGAGGAGTAAACATACGTTTCCTGTGAGGCCTGCTGACCATAGCAGGACCTCTGAGTGGAAAACCTCAGATCTCCGAGAGTTTGGTTCTCCCGTACCGCAGACTCACTGCTCAGCACAGCAGCTCAGGAACATCAGCCGTCAGCCTGAAACCAATCAGACCCCAGTCCAACAACACAGCACGTCTGTCTTAAACAGCAGCGCAGCAGCAAACGCTCCACTGAGAAGCTTTCAGAGGCAGTGAAGGGACGAGGCAGCGAGGCAGCCGGGGAACCGTCAGGGCAGGCCCACCCAACAAACCTCTATCTGCACCATCAATGACCAAACCAGCCGTCACCAGCATCTGCCCCAGTTTAAGAAGCTAAAAACAGAAGTAAAAGCAGCAGCAAGCTGAAGGGGAATTCCACCAGTTCTCAAAATTTCTGCCTAATAATGTGGATGTACAGTCATTCAGAGCTCAGGCTGGTTTGGCGTGAAATGTCAGAACTGTTCACGGTGCTGGTCAGGGCTGGGAGAGCCACTGAAAAATTAGTAGTCCGCTACTTTGTAGCTACTTTCCCAAAATTTGTAGCTGCTACAATTTAGCTACTTTTCCAGAAAAAGTAGTGGCTACTTTTTAGCTACTTTCAAAGCGCGACTGTCGAATGTTTGTGAATCTCCATCTGACACACCAAACAAGCCCAACTGACATTGTGAACAAGACACTGCATTTAGTCACGAGCCAGAAAGAAACACAGCTGAAAAGCTGCAAATCTACAAAAAGATCAACAAACAGTGAGTTTAGGTGTAACGAACAATCAGACTTACACACCCAAAGGCCTGATATCCAACGAACCCTAGACTAAAGGCAAAGTCCATCAGTCCAGGCTTTTCCTAACAAAAATCAACAAAAATAAGCGACAAACCAGACAACTTTGTGCAAAGCAAAAGAACATTGAGAGACATTTTACAAGAAACTGTTCTACTTTTGAGGGAAAGTTTCCTGCTGGAGATGTGAGAAAAGCGGATATAGCTGATCTAAAGGTTGAAGCAGAGCAAAGTGAGTCTGCGTTTTAGTTTATATTGTGTTTTCAGCCTGTACCAGTACATCAGCACATACTGGGACACACTGACAGCCAAGATGGTAAAACGGACATAAACTGTCCACGGTCAGTCAGGATTGCACAGTCGCCACCAGCCCAGTTAACGACCGCGTTCTATGGGTCAGATTTTGCGGGGATCGCCTGAAAAAAATTTGTAGGGACTTATTGATATAAATTATTGCATTTAAGTTAAATGCAGGTAAATTAACGTGTTCATTGAGCTGATGTTGCCTTTGAATTCGCCAACCTTCGTAATTCATTCTCCATCTAAGGCGCCTCAGTGTAACTGCAGCTCCACTTAATTTGGAACAGAAAATCCAGATGAGAATCTGGTGAATAAGAAGCTTCATCTTTATTTCTGTGTGTGAGTTTATTATAAGAGCTTTGGCAGTTTTGGAGCCACTTTTATTAGTTTTTATAAAATCTCACGCTGGAATGTTCTGAACTCTGGAGATGTGCAGGTCATACAGATCCACCAATCAGCTGATCTTCTCCTCGTAGTGTTTTCAGTAGACGCATCTAAAGTGTCCTCATATCTGTTCATGTGTTTGTGGTCATTCTGGTCTGTGTTGTTGGTGTTTGTCCTCCTGCAGGGCTGAATCTGCAGTAACGGTGATGAGCTGAGCTCCATCAGAGCACAGAGTCACAGCTCACCCACCAACATGGAGACGAGGTCTTCCTAATGACTCAGTCCAAAACTATGAATTGTGCTGTAAATTGAGCTGCTTTCCGCTGAGTGATGCGAGTTACCCAGCCAACCATACGTTTACGTTCTGATTTGGTCTATACAGTAACTTTACACTGGTCCAAACACCCACATTAAAAACATAAACAGAAAGAAAGCAGTAACACTCCGAGCGCTCAACCTTTCATAAAAAAATATCTAGAAAGTATCTAACAAGCATGAGAACCACGTGCTCAGGCATGTGTGGAACGCGAGGTCGGCGTCCGTCTAATCAGAGAGAATTAAATGCCTCCGACTGCTTCTCTTCGGTTCCACCATCAGAACATTTCTGCAGACTCTGTGCCTCTAAAAGCGAGAACCCACAGCCAGATAACGAGGCGCTGTGGGCGAGGACATCTCCTCTCCTTCATCAGAACTCATGCCAAACCAGCTACATCATCCTCCTCCTCCTCCTCCTCCTCCTCTTCGACCCTGAGGGTGAAGGATTAATCACCGTTTGAAGAGCTGAGGCTGAGAATCAGGGCCAGACAGAGAGCGCAAAGATCAGGAATCAAACGGCTTTACAGATTTTTAAACACTCAGATCTGATAATCTGGGCTGTTTTCACTTTAATGTGGAGCAAACTTTACATAAACAATGCACAGCATGCAACGGTCCTGACAGCCTTTACTAAAGAGCTTTTACTGAAGAGCTTTTACCCACAGTGCACCAGGAATCTCTAAAACTGTTTTTTTTACTTTTACTCTTTAACCACCTCCGCTCAGCATCTGTCTTAGTTCATTTAGTTTTAGTTTATTCGTTTTTATAAGTTGCTTTCTTTGATTTGATTTCTTTGATTTGTGATTATAACTTTTTATTGATGTCATTTACTTGATTTTTCATAATTTTCCTATTTTTTCATTACTACTGCGGTCTCATTATCGTTTTCTACTTTGTCTTATTTTCTTACCCTATTTAGTTGTTTATTTATTTTTATAATTTTTTTTATCACTAATGTGCCTCACAGTTTTCTTATTTTTACTTGTCTAATGTACTTTTGTTGGTCTTATTTATTTTCTTTTCTACACTTTCATGATTATAAATTTATATTTACTCTTTCTAATCCCTTGTTTGTTTGTTTGTTTGTTTATGTCCAAAGCTCGGCTACACTGCAAATGAGGGTCACTTAATGCATTCTGAGTTTAAATAAAGGCTGATTGATAGATTGAGTGATTGCAAATCACCGCTGCCAGAACAAAACCTCGTATCTCCATTTTTGACCATTTTCATTTTTGACGTAATTTAAAAATGCCTGTTGTTCTTTGCACTGTGTGTAAATTTCATGACGAATGGAGCAAAAGAAATGATCCAAAAATGCTTGGAAAAAGTCTGTTTACATTGACTTTGATCAAATTATATTTTTTGCTTCTCCTGTAAAGCTACCATCATTTTGGAGATATAATGTTTTGTTCTGACAGCAGCAAAATACTTTAAATAATTTCACTAAAATGGTCGAATCAATTCCTTTTTTCAGTTTTTACACTCTCACTCCCTTCATAATCAACATTTCATGACTGTGATTCGAAAGTAACAGTGACCACGTCATTTCTTGCCTTCGTGTTTTTAAACTTTAAGCACTTTTTCTCGAGCCCTGCTTCATTTCGGACGCTGCCTCTTTTATCCGCAACTCAACGAGGACTCGATTGTCCGCTGACCTCTCTGG